ATGCCTTGATCAGTCCATGTCCTAACTGGGCCTGGGATATTCTGCCATCCTTCTTGTACAACACCAAAGCTTCTGCTCGAGAGTCCTGACAGTTCCCTCTTGCAGGCTACAGAAAATGGCTTTCCATTTGTTTAGGCTTTGCTTCTTCCTGCTCAGTACCACTAGAAGGTGGTATGCAGGTTTTACCACATTGTTGAAGTGTCCCTTCTTTGTAAACTCATCTGAGCTTTTTGAATTTTCTCTTGCAAGAGAGTCTCAGGAAATGAGAGAAACAGAAGGACAAAGTTATGGGGTATCTTAGGGACCCTGTTAAACTAGGGTTGTATGGAGCTAAGGCTAGTCATGTGCATCTGGAGTGGAGAATGTTCTAGGATCTTTTTCAGAATTCACTGCCTCTTTCCCTTCATTGTTCTCCTGTCTTAGTTCATAGTGCAGTTCTTAGGTATAATCCCTTTTCCTCACAGATCCCTGGTCAGACAGACTGATGGTTCTAGTAGATCATTCTAATCCCTTCTGTTGTTTTCCTCTTCCCAGCACTTTGCTTAATCAATTTTCTCTGGCTCTGAACTAAACTCTTTTACCTTCTTGGTTCTTAGTTCCTGAACAGAGCTATTTCTTCTTTGGGCTTCCAGAGATTTCTCCCCTATCTTGAAGTTGGCCTTTGTAGTAACCTTTGTCTTTGCTACAGTTCATTCTTGCTTTCTTCTGACCTAGGTGTAGTGCTATCCTCTGTCTTGTGTGTGACCTGATTCTTCTTTTGGTCCCATTCACTTTCTTGCTTGTTCTTTTTCTTTTGTGCTTCTTGGGTGAAGCTTTTTAAAAAACTGAGAGATGTTATGTAGCTTATAGTTATTACTGAATATGTATAATTTGCCAGATCTTGGGCTAACTGCTTTATAAGAATATCTTTTTGATCCTTTTAGTAATACTGTGAGGTGGGTATATTTCATTTTGCCAAGTAGGAAACTATGCTTAGAGAATTTTGATTCATCCAGTAACTTGTAAAAGATAAACCTGGAATTTGAAACCAGGTCTTTCTGACTCCAGAGCCTATGATCTGGCTCTTCATCTGAAGTGTGTGTAAAGCTGGCATCTGGACTCTTGTGGGTCTATCTGGTGTCTGCCGTTTCATCTCCAGAGTAGGTGATCACAGGATATTTAAACATACCCAGAGACTGACCTACAAGTAATTTTCATCTAGTGGTTGGGGTGGTCTCTTGGTTTTGGGAAGAATAAGCACGATGTGCATTGTGTTTAGGCCTTGTATCCTTGTACCCACCCCTCCCAGGCCCCTTCATGGCTGTGCTCTTTGCCAAACTCGAGAACATGCTGCAGAACTCCGTCTATGTCAACTTCCTGCTGACGGGGCTGGTGGCCCAGCTGGCCTGTCACCCCCAGCCCCTGCTCCGCTCTTTCCTGCTCAACACCAACATGGTCTTCCAGCCCAGTGTCAAGTCCCTGCTGCAGGTGTGCGATGCATGCATGCATGGGTGCGTCCAGGCTCCGTGGTGGGCCAGGCCCGCAGCTGGAGTGGCCCTGGGGGGCTGGGAACAGGCCCAGGGGGACTAGAAAGGACTGTCAGTCTAGAACTACACAGAAATGTCATGAAGTTGTGCTTCATAGGTGCTGGGTTCTGTGAAGAATAAAATTGAGAGCTTTGCGGCCTCCCAGGAGGACTTCCCAGCACTGCTATCCAAAGCCAAGAAGTACCTCATTGCCCGTGGCAAGTTGGACTGGGCCGAGGGCCCTGCAGCAGGACCTGCCCCCCGCCGCTCCGATCCCCTAGGTGAGGCCTATCCCACCACTCCACCCCTCTCCCTACCTTCCCTAGACAGCTAATTAGTCCAGGTTAATTAGCTCTTATTAAGGGTGAAGTCTTGTGCCATGTACTGAGGAGTTGCAGAAAATTGAGTCTTGATGTTTGTCATCTGGCTCTAGTCAGAGGGTAAAATACAGTTATGTCCACCAAGAGCCAAATTAGCAGCACCAGCAAAAACTGTTCTAGGAGTTGAGGATAGGCAAGGGGACAGAGTAGTCTCTGGGTTGAGGTATGGTTACAGCTTGGGAAAGGACATGGTATTTGACATGGTCCTTGAGAGATAGGACTTGGGTAGGCAGAGGAGTGGGGTGGCTTTATTCTTTTGTCCGGGGGACCGCATGAACTATTTAGCTGGAGCAGGGGATTTAGAAGGTGGTGGAATAGCTTATGGTAAGGCTGGAAAGATTTGGCCAGAGCATTAGGTGCTCAGATTAGAAGTTGGGCTGGGTAGAAGTTGTGATCTTTTAGGCAGTGAGAACCCATTGGAGGTTCTTAGATAGGAGAGTGGAGAGATAAGCATGTTAGTTCACGTGGACCCAGGAGAAAACAGAGTGCAGCTGTGACCAGCAAGGCTTGAATTAGAATAGTGGAAACAGAAAGGAAGAATTAGATAAGGTAGAAATGGGAAGAAAGTATTGGCAGAGTTTGATGAATGGTTGTGGGGTGCAAGGAGGAAGGAAAAGTTAAGTATGACCATGCAGCTTTAAATCTAGATCTTCCATCAGCAAGTGTCTGAGTACTTGCCATATTTGCTCTCCATTGTCTTTGGTACAGGGGACTCAGGGAGTGGTACAAGGACTCAGAGAGTAGGTACAAGATGATACCTTTGCTTTCTAAGAGCTGACAGTCAGTCTAGAGAGTGACTAGAGAAGTGTCATTAACTGAGAAAGGAAGGTCCCAAAATGTGGTGGATGTAGTGGGATCCAGTGTACCAGGACAGGATTAACTTTGGATGGGAAAGGTTTTTTTTTCCCCCCTTTGAGGCAAATGAGGGATAGATCAAAGGAGGAAGTGATATGTATCTATGGAGCTGTGAGGTGCAGAGGGGAAGGACAGGAATTGAAGTACTTTATTTGCTAATCAAAGTAGGAGGCAAAATAATATGCTAAGAGCAAGAGAGCAGGGGTGAGATCTTGAGAAATGCGGGTTGGGAAGACAGTACCAGAATGGTTATTATACAGCTGCAAAAACCCAGCTGATGTTCCTTAGCATGATTTCCTCATGGTACAGCACTGTGAATGTATCTTATTTCCAAAGTTCTGGTACTGTGTTCACTGTGGAGGTAAATAAGAGTCTGAGCCCTTGAGCTCACCGATTACTGTATGAGATAGAAGACCTATACACAAGCCATTACAATACAGTGTGGTAAAGGCGGTGAAATGGGAAGTCAGTGGACGGCAAATCAGAGGAGGTTTCTCATAGGGGTGGGGATAATGAGATTAGGCCAAGGATGAAAACAGTGGGGAGAGTAAAATTAAGGCAGAGAGGGCTACAGAAGCATAAAAAGAGCCTGGAAGGTTTCAGGAAGAGCAGATAGGTATGGGTACAAAAGCAGAGGAGGGTGTGAAGGGTTTGGAAGAAGGGTTGGAGGGGCATGTGAGCCTGGTTGTGAAGGGTTTTGAATGCCATATTTAGTAGATTTGTGTAGCATATTTCTGTAACCAGTGTTCGAGATAGAGAATGGGAACTGTAGCATGATCTAGAGACTAAATCCCTAGAGTCTAGGCCCTACGTATTGGGCAAAGATCCAGAACCAGTAATCTAGGAAGATAATTAGAGGAGAGAGGGCAATATTTTAAATGGTTCATTTGAGTCTAAGCTGAGGTGAAGTTGTCTGGCCACGTGAAGTTGTCTAAGCTGATGTGAAGTAGGAGGATGGCTTTGGTGGATATAGGAGGGGGGCTGGTGGTAGGCGAAGTGGTGGCGCAGGAGAACAGATTTTGGAAGGGTAGTAGAGTATGAGACAGGTGGTAAAGCCCCGGAACTGTGATTGCATATATGGCCCTGTGGGTGTGGAAGGAGCAGAGGATGTGGGTCATGTGTTATAGACAGGCAGAGGGAAGCTGGAAGTGGTTGGCTCCACTTCAGGAGCATAACTTTAAGGGTGTGTTACAGACTGAGGAGACATAGCTTAGAGATGGTAGAATAGTGTTTGGAAAGGGAGGAGTATTAAGAGTCCCTCAGGGTGAGAGGGCGTGGAGAAGGGGTCTTGGTTGGGAATGAAGTGGCTGTAGTGTTGACTGACAGAAGACTGAGGGTGATGGTTGACTGCGTGGGGAGGCTGGATAAAGGGAAGGCTAGGCAGGCAGCATTTTGGTTTTCGAGTCCTAGTTGAGATGTCCCTGAACCCAAGGAGGGGGCATCTCTCTCAGACAGAGAGAGTGTGCCTGACCCCAGCACCTTCATGATCCCCAATACCCATTTATTCCCAGTGAAGAGCCGGAGGCCGTCCTTGGGGGAGTTGCTCCTGCGGCACGCACACAGTCCAACCAGGGCCCGGCAGGCGGCACAGTTGGTTCTTCAGCCTGGGAGAGACGGCGCAGGACTTGGCCTAGGTGGGGGCTCCCCAGGGGCTTCAACTCCGGTTCTGCCCCCTCGGGGTGGGGCCCCTGAGCGCCAAGGTGAGGCTCTGCGAGTCAAGAATGCGGTCTACTGTGCAGTCATTTTCCCTGAGTTTCTCAAGGAGTTGGCTGCCATCTCCCAGGCCCATGCTGTCACCTCGCCTTTCTTGTTGGATGCTTCAGAGGAGGGATCTGGCCCTCCTTTCTCAGGCTTCGGGCCCCTCAATCCTTAACTTTCTTCCATGGACAATCAGGGCCTCAAGTGGCCTGGGCCGGGGCCGCGGTGTAGGCTCCTTTTTATGTTTGGAGGCAGTGGCAAGAGGACTTTTTAATTTATTTCCGATGAATGTTTTATGGAGAACTTGTTGCAATATGTATAAAAGGGAAATCTCTATTCTGTGCTCATTCTTCTTTCCCACCCTTTTTTCTGGGGCTGTGGTCCCAGGAAGGTTGTACATAAATGGGGAGGTCAGGGGTACTTTGTCTCTCATGAGGACATTGGTGCCGAGGTTTCAAGGTGCTTCTCATGCCCTTAAAGGGTGAGGGGGTCATGGAGCCTAGGGAAAAAAGTAGGGACTCTCCATCAGCCCCCAGAAGGAAGAAGCAGCATGGGCCAAGGATGGTTTTGGGGAGCAGCAGCTGATGTTTATTGGGGACCAGTATCCCTATTCCAGATATTGGGGGCCTCGCCCCCTGCATCTCTCGCTTCAGCTTCATTCGTCGCTGTCGAACTCTGAGGACAGACCCTGCAGCAGGGGCAGGGACATGGAGTGCCGGTCGGGGTCCCCGGGGCCCCCACCCTGGACTCCTGGTGGGGGGCTGCGGGGACTGAAGAGCCAGTTCTCTGCCAGGGTTGGGGATAGTCACAGCTTGACTCATGCCCTGGTCTTTCTGCCTCCCTGGTCCCTCCCTGGCCCTCTCTGCTGTGCCCACCCCCTCACCAGGACCATGCTTCCCCCTCGTTACCCCTGGCTCCCTCACTCCATCCCCCTCACTGGGATCCAGTGTGGAGTGAGGGGTGCCCCACACATTCCTGGGCACACACTCCTATATTCCCCATGCCCTCTCCCCTTTACCCGATCTCATCCCTCTCAGCTTCATATCCCCTAGCAGTACCTGACAACATCTGGGGCCCCCTGCGGAAGGGGTTTCGGCCCCTGTAGGAGAATCTGGTGGGTCTGCCCTCTGGCCCTTCCTGAGGAGGTGGTGTAGGTGGGGCTGGGACAGGCGGGGGTACATCAGCAGCTTCAGGGGTATCGGCAGCGACTGATGTGGGGGCCAGAGGTGGCATGATGCCAAGGTTGGGTCTGACCCAGTTGGCACCATGGGGCAATGGATCTTTGGTCAGAGGCTTCTGTGGTCCCAGCACTCCTTTGGGGTGCAGTGAAAACTTGAGGCAGGAGAAGGCAACAGGCAGTGACCGTTGTAACCGGAGCAGCTGGGGCTCACGGGCTGTAGGCAACAGCTCCAGCTGTAGCCAGGAACAGGAGAAGACCTGGTAGATGACATAGATGCTGTGTGTACTTCGGAGCCAGGGAAGGTTTTGCTGTAGGCTCACCTGCCCTGGCGGCAGCAGCAGGAAGGCCACCTTCTTGCGCAGGCCACCTATGTGCAGGCGGATCCGGCAGGGCTGCCCATCCAACAGTCGCATTTCTTCATAGGGTATCTCTGCTCGGCCGTCTGGTGAGTATTCCCGAGTGCAGTGGGCAAAGGCACCCTCAGACCCTGCCTGCTCCAGGAGGTTTGGTAGTGGCCCCACTGGTTGTAGTGCCCGCCGACCCTGCCAACCTGGTAAAGCCAGGCGGGTGTGGGCTGGGCGGGACTGCTTCACTAGCACACCCAGTAGGTCATAGCAGGCTGCATCCGACAGGAAAGGTACCGCCACTACATTGGGCCCAAAGTGCTCCTCGATAACCTGCAGATGGCCAGTTTACAGGTCAGGGACTGAGTTAGGGTCAGGAGTTACCTGGTAGCCTATTCTAGATTGACCCTCCCATTGTTCACTGTGCAATTACATCTCCACAACGTGCTCAGGCTGTTATGCTTTCTGCTTATTTTATAGTTCTGTCCTGTAGCAAAACCTTGAATGTCTACTATGTGTCAGACCCTGCTGGATACTGGGAGTACATAAAAGCATGAGGCTTTGACCATGTCTCATTATAGCTCAGTCTAATGGAGGAGATGAAGATGTAGACCATAGTCAGCTAAGTAAAATAATAGAGAGCAAGGTTAAATCACCAGAAGTGATTTAACAGCCTTTGTCTTTGATAGAAGAGGATCAGAAGATTTCTAGTTTCTAGGTGGTAATACTTGAGTTTTGGAAGGAAGTAGTTAGGTAGGAGGATGGTCAATCCAGGGAGAGGATACAGCCAGTTAAAAAACCTGAACTTACAAACTAAGAAGGGCACATTCAGGAACACATCATTTCGTAGTACTTAAACATAGGGTCTGAAGAGCGACAGGCACACAGGAACTAGACGATGAAAGATCTAAAAGTGTGCTAATTGACAGGAATTTGATCCTAAGGGCAGTGGAAAGCCATTTGAAGGGCTCTGGGTGAGAGGGACGGGATCAGAAAGGTGTTTTGAAAGTTACTTTTGAATAGCAAGACAAAATAAGGAGAGGAAGATCGGGTAAGAGTATTGTATAACTGCAAGCAGAACATGGTGAGGCCTTCAACTGAAATAGAACTTTAGGTTATAGAATTAGTAGAACTTGGTCAGTTAAGGAGTATGGGAAAAGGAATCATGAAGGATTAGTCTTAGATGATTGGTTAGATGGATGATGTCGTTCACTACAATGGGTATACAGAGATAGGTTTGGAATGACCATTCTTCAGCATCTTCTGCCCTGGCTACAGGGAGTAGTTCTTTTAGGGATTTGAGGCCTCATCTTTGTAATGCTGTCCCAATAAGCTTTTAGGGATTCTAGTTCCTCTTGGTTTTGTCCTTCTTGTCTTGGCTTTTTTGGTTTGATAATCCAGTTCTGCAAAGTTTAACTTCATGACCAACTGGGAAACCTTGTAAGATCCTCTCTAGTAATTGTACGTAGGTATGATCTCGACTCATTAAAGATATTGCTGGCCGAGACTTCTGGCTCTGTGTTCTGCTAGGGAGTACATAAAATTCCCTCTTTGGGTCCCTTTCGTGTTTGAGATCTATTCTGAAAATACTCTGTTCTACTCCCCTTCCTCAGCCCTGAATTCCCACATGTCTGTCTCCCTACTGCTGGCATTGCCCACTTTGCTGGTCTTCTGGTAGAATTCATCAATGATCTCTTAAGGCCATTCTGTTTTTTTTGCTACATAGAGCTGTTTTAGAAGTGCTGCCCCACAGCATAAGAGGAGGATAGCTAACTGATGGAGTTATGTCTGCACTTTGTCACCTAGCCAAGGAAATAAATGGTGCTCTTTCTTAATGTGCATGGAAGAATTTCCCATCATTCCTGTGCTTCATTGAGACATGGAATACTTTCTTTCTGGTGGGGGCATCAGGCTGAAGGACAGGGCTCTGAGAAGGTCCATTTGGGTTTCCCAGGGGTGACAACAGGGCACTGGTGGGTTGGCATTTTTGTATAGAATGCTCTGTCCCATGACAAAAAAAGCGTAGTCACCAAGTGTAAATTCAGAATCCTACCCTAGCTGCTCCTTTGGTCCCTAGGATCCTATACAAATAAGACAAATAGGAGTGTCCCCAGGAGGTATCTCTCTAATAGGATTTTGAGAAATACCTGGTTCTTATGGTCTAAGTGTCTGCTAAAAGGTGAATCCCTAATTTAGCTGGAGGCTTTTTCCCAGAATATAGACATGAATTTGCCTTGGGGGTGGGGGAGGGTTATTAGGCCCTATTTCTTACCCTTGAGGCCCCCAGTAGTTATCCTAAAATAGGGAAAATAAGATTTCTATGCTAGGGTGACTATTCTTGGTAGAGTCATCATTTGAGAACACTACCTATTGTTCCCATTGCAGTTTTATATCTGGGTGAAAGTTCTATGGAACATAGAGGCCTGCAAATTTAGATCTCTCAGGGGCAGCCTGCGAAAATGAAGGTGAGGAAGACTATCTTCCTGGATGTACCTTGGCTGGTTTGAATTCTGAATGAGGAGCTCTTGAGCCACATTCTTGTTAGCTATAGGTTCTACAAAGTGCTCAGTAAACTCTCAGCAGTTCTGGAGAGAGGAAACCAGGTCACTCAGAGGTGTCCTGCTCCTTGAATTTGCCACATACCACAGTGATTTATTCTGAATCTCTGCCTTTCCTGACAATTTTCCATTTAAATAGGGAATTTTTCTGATGCTGAGAGATAGTGTAGCTTTCTACTAGTTGATGATCACATTTACTTTCAGCCTAATGAAATGCTTGATCTTGTCTGGACCAACCTTTTACACTGCTGAAGCCAGGTACTTTGATACTTGGGAGGGCCTTGACTTTCCTGTTTCTCCTTCCCTGGGAAGCTGACCTTCGTGGTGAGCTGCTGCTCCATTTCAAATGGGAGCCACATGAGCCACATGCTGTTAAGGCTGCTTTGAGTCTGGTCAGCACTACTTGATGGTGGTTTTAAACTTGGTGGACTGCCTTCCACTAGTGCTTGAAATTCACTATCCTTCAGGTTACATAACTGGAACCTGATCCCCAAATTCTCCAAGTTCAGAAATTGTAGCCATCTAGATTTGGTGGGATTTGTTGGGTACCTGCAACTCAGATACAGCTGACATCTGCCTGCTCCTAAAAATCTACATATTTTGCTCAAAACCCAAATTTCCCATTCTGTGGAAGTTAAAGGTGGAGGAGGTATCTGTGAAGAGGTTGAAGTTCCTTTAGAAAGTTTAAAGGGCCCTTCTTGATCAGCCCCTGTACCTTTTTGACCTCCTTTTCACTACCCATTTGAACTCTATTCTAGAGGACCATTTGCCGTTCACAAATATGCATTTTTCTTTTTCCTCTCCTGGCTTTTGCATATGCTCTACCTTTAATTAGGACACCGTTCACTTACCCACCCACCCACCTGCTCATTAACTCATTTAGTTGTTTAGTAAACACCATTTATGAGTCAGTAATTCCTTTACCCTCTACATGAGAATAATTTCTATTTGCCTAGCTAGAATATCACTCTCCAGGAAATCTTCCTGACCTCCTAAGCCCTACCCTGACTTAGCACTTGTTTCAGTTTTCCTCGATTCCAGTTGCCTTTCAAGGAACCTCTTACTGTTTTTCCAATTGTGATGAAATTGGACACTGTATGCAAAGCACTTAGTGCAGTGCCTGGCATGTGAGCAAGCCCTGAGTAAATATTAGTTGTTATTATCTTCAGGCTTCCCGCCCCTTCCTACTCATAAGTTGCTCAGACCCATCTAGGTCACTTTCTTTTTGGCCTCTTACTTTATCCTTGATGAGGGTCCAGGTGGCATCAGCTTCATCCAGTGTCAGCAGGTGGGGGGTACCAACCAACATGGTGGGGTGTGAGAGGGGTTAGGCAGGGCAGTGGCTGCTGCAGGAACCCCAAGTTGTCCAGGGAGGTGAGGCCCCAGGCCTTAGGCTTTGACCTACTACAGCATGAGGTCATAGAGGTCCTGTAGATAATGGGGCCTTGGGTGGGGAGAGGGCAGTTACTTTACTAGCCTCACTATGTGGCCATCCGAGTCCATATCCATAATCTTTTTAAGAACAGAAGTCCTTATCCATTCTCCTCCTTAGGGGAGAAGAATGCAGGTCTGTTTGGGTGCATTTGTATATGTCTGTGTGTGCTTGCAGGAGTGCATGTGTGCATGTGTATGTGTTTTTTTCTTGGTCTGAGTTCTTTAAGGAAGCAGAATCAGGCTTCCCTCTTCAGCAGCCTCCTGAAGCAATTTACTGTGTTATCTTATCAGCTGCAGATGACTTCTTTGTGAGGTTAGATAGGGGTCTTGAAGGACAGGGGAGAAGTTTAAATCAGGACTTAAGACTGAGAACCAAGCAGTAGTTCTCAACCTTGGTCATATTTTGGAATTACCTGGGAGCTTTAAAAACTATAGATACGTGGATCCTACCCCCCAGGGATTCTGATTTAATTGGTTTGGAGTGTGCCTAGGCATCAGGATTTCTAAAAGCTCCTCAGGCAATTCTGATGTGCAGCCTAGCTTGAAACCCATTATTAATGAGTGGGTTACAATTGCAATGAAAACCAGGTGTGTGTGTAGGAGGGTGCCATATGAGTGGTGACAATGTGGAGGATAAGAATCTAATTGGGATAATGTTGCCTTAGTAACTGGAGAGGACTTTCAGGAAGCCAGAATTACCCAGGTAAATTTGAGGAAATTTTTTTTCATGTGCCACTCCCTGTCCTAGGCTGATCTGTGTCTACCTGGCACTCTCCTACTACAGTCCTAATCTGTGTGTGATTTTTCCCCTTGTGTCTCTGTCCAGAGATCTCAGCCTGGTGTTTGCTGGAACAAAGTGGTTTTTCCTTGGAGAACCACCACTCTGGAGAGCCTTTCTAGTAGCTACTCTCCCACTCTGCCTCTTACCTGTCCAAAGAGCCTTCTCTTGAGTCCCTATGGAGAGTCTCCTGTGTGCCCAGGAAGACCATTTCTGTATGGGGAGCATCCTTTCCTATCCTGGCCCAGCATGTAGGGCTGTCCCATGAAGTCGGCCATCATCTGAACTAGCTGAAGTGGTATGAGGATAAGGCATGGGGAATGGTCCTACATGATGTAACTGGCTTCAGGGGAGGGTAGGCCTCTGTAGACAGAACTAACTGTGTGGGTGCTAGGTGTTTACACAAAGATTTGACAGTGGGCGTGGGACTGTGCTCCAGGAGAGGGCTTGATATCAAATATTTGTTGAAGTTGTCTATGTTAGGGGCTATGCCAAACACTTTGAATCCATTATCCTGGTAATTCCTTTTAGTAACCTCTTGCAGTAGGTACTATTATTTCCTCATTTTACAAGTGAACTAACAGGCTCAGAGAGGTTAAGTAGATTAGTGCAAGCGATACAGTGAGTTAATGGAGGATCTGGGATTCAAATCCAGGTTGGCCTGATTCCAGCTTTTAAGTTAAAATTTGAATGGTAGTTGTTTTTGGTGAAGGAAGAAATTGCTGTATCCCTTCTGTTCTCTTGAGTGTATGGTGGGAGGGCGCCTGCTCAGTGGATATGCAAAGTCATGTAGTGAAAAGGAAGTGGGCAGGATGAGAGAAATGCTGCAATAGGCCAATCCAGAAACCCCAAGCATCTTTTCAGGGCAGGCAAAACCAAATTTCTTCCTCTAGTGCCCTCCTAGCCCTACACCAGGAGAGGTCATCTGGTGTAGTATAGTTGGCACTTCTGTTCCCTCCAGAAAGGAATCCTGAGTGAGGTAGACAGCAGTGGCGGAGAGAGACATACACCAGGACAAGGGACACAGATGTGGGGCAAAACAGACAGTGCAAGGAGGCAGAGATGCAGAGATACAGAGACAGAGAGTTACTGATAAACACAGGCAGAGAATGATGTACATCCATATCCTAAGGGGATTCCGGAATGAGAAGGGGGTGGATAGGGGAGGGACAGGGATGATGGGCTGTTGGTGAAATGTGAGGAGGATCTCTTTCAGATTTTCATAGAGGGGCTAACAGGGGGAAATTGGGTATAGATGAACTCCTCAGTCAGAAGCCCTTATCTTCATCTCTTCTGCTGATGATGATTCTTTAAGCTCCCTGCATTCCACACTGCCCTAAGTGAGACTGTCTTTCCCTTTGGCTCATAGAGTCAGATTGAAAGTTGCTTAAGGAAAACAAATGACAACTGAGTTCTGGATGGAGTTGAGCCTAGGGGTGGGCTGTTTGGTCATAGCCTGCTCATGGGGTTGCCTCCAGTGTGGCACATTCTGGGGTTTCCCTGGACACAGATCATCTGCAACATATCTGAGTGGTGACTAGATTGGAGAGCATGAGAGGAACAAAAAGGCAGGGGCTGGTTATTTAGGGAACATGGGGTTCTCTGCAAAAACCTCTAGAGTAGTATAGAATAGTGTTGATAGCAGAGCCTTTGGAGGGATAAAGAGCCTTGACCAGTCTCTTCACTTCTCTCAGGCTACAGGGATAACTATACAATCCCTGATCCCTTATTTGAAACCTTTAGGGATAGATGTGTTTTGGACTTCAGATTTTTTCAGATTTTAGAAAGGGAATATAGTGCCTTTATCATATATAAAGGAATACCCCAGTGAGGTTTAGGGCAGTGCCCTATAATCAAACACATCAATATTTCTGAAGCTAAATGTATGAATATTCACACCAAGTAAGATAAATAAATACTATAAATACCATCCTGACGTTTCAGGTCAGGTTTTGGACCAAAGTCATAAAAAAAACTATTGTTTCTTCAGAGATTTTTTTTATTTTGGAATTGTGGATAAGGGATTATTCTCAGGTTGTTGTGAGGAGTAAGGGAGTGCTGGTAGTCTTCTAAACATATCACATGGTAGGTGTGTATCTCAATCCAAAACAAAATACTAATGTCCAAGGGGGTGGATTTTTGGCTTGAAGAAAGAAGGTTCTTGCAATGAACAATGCACAACTTTGGAATCAGCTGCCTTGAGGAGCTGTGCACAAGCAGGGAATGAAGGTGCCTTAGACAAGAGGTTTCCTGTGGTGGGAAGGTGACAGAATTCATTGCTTACGAACATTGACTGCCTAGGATTTCCCTTTTCATGTACCAGAGGGGAAAGGCAAAAAATGTGCGTGTGTGTATGTGTGACACAGGACATCACATATACATTTCTTTATAATAATGTTGTAATAAATATCTTACTGCATACATCTTTGTTTACATCTCTAATTATTTTGTCAGGATAGATTATTGAAGAGGAATCCCTGAGAGAAGGGTATGGACGTCTTAAAGACTCATGACCAATTAGGATTAGGATTTTGTCACAGTTATCCACAAAATCATTGCCTGAGTTTTTTAACTCAGAACCTCATGAAAAAGATTAGTCTTGAGAATGACTAAGCCCACACTCAAGGACAACTGTAGATCTCAGTGTGACAACACCTCTGAAAATCCTGTAAAGTTTCTGCACTATCTCTTCAGCTCTGTGCTAATGAGGACCTGGTAAGACCCCATGTGGCCCTAGAGAGGACATCACTTGCTTTTTCAGATCTGCAGCCTCCTCTTCTGTGTGGTGTCCCATGGTGTTTGGTCCAGCTATCTGTGCTGAGTGGTCAGCACTGCACTTGCCTTTAGGTCTTCATGGCTGACTCCAGTACCTGTGGTTATGATAGTTTTCCCAGAGAGCTTGGGTCTGCCTGTGCAGCGTGCAGCTTTCTCCGACCTTATAACGGTAAATCCCTGTGTTTTGCCTGAGATTATATTCATTCTCGGCTCCATGCTGGTGTGAAAGATCTTTTGCGCAACGTCCCTTCCAGTGTAGAGTCTTAGCTGAAAGTCAATCCCCTGTTGGGCAACACCATGACACTTACTGTGTAATATCTCTATTTTCTGTTAGCCACAATGGAGCAAAATATTCCTATTTAATCATATTGTACCAACATCATGTGCTTCTAGTGATGTTGACCAGGACAAATGGGGGTGCTGATGTGGATTTTATTTGGGAATTCAGCGTTCTTGGCTGAGGATGCAGAGAAGAGCAAACTGGTAAGAGACCACAGTGACTGGACCTCAGGCAAGCAGGTGAAGTGCTTATGATTTCCTGGGATATCAAAATTTCTTTCAGTTGGACCTCTGACCCCTATGGCTGTAGGCCCAGGAGGAGAAGTTCTAGCAATTAATTCTTGAGATATTCACAGGAGAGTGGGGGTAGGGGAAATAGTAATTACACATGAGACCAAGAGGATTCTCTGGACTGGGAATGGCAAAGATCAGTGTGCTGGCCAAATTTGGGACCCCAATCTGGGCACATTATCCATAATAAGCCTGTAACTCTTTCCTTAAGGACAGGCTGAAAATAGAATCTGGCTGTAGAAACGGAGAGGGCTGTGATCCCAGACAAGTAGACAAACACTTGCCTCCTGAGGCAGCGTCACTTTTCCCAGACCCCCAGGTCTAGCATCTGTAGAGGAGTTTTTGTGTGGAACCATGGGGAGACTTAGGTTAAAATGATGGAGGGGGGGAGGAGAGTTTTCTTTAAGTTAAATCTTGTGTACTATGAACCATGGTAATTCCTGATCTTATTTTCCTGCATGGTAATGTGTAGCCCCCTGCCTCCTGCCTCCTGAGCAAGATACGTGGATAGGCCAAAGCCTGCAGATGCTAGTGATAATGTAGAGACTTCACAGCAAATATTTGTTGAGTGGTTATCACAGTCATATGTATATAGTAGGTAAAGATGATATAATCCACATCTCCAGGCCCCAGACTCTTCTGTATGTCCCCTTACCTCCACCAGCAGGCTCCATTGTTTTCTGCCCATTAGAACTGGCTTTTTCTGACTGTGAAGGTTTCCAGGAGCCGGTCCCTGATTTGCTTGGTGCGGACCCCATAGATGAGTGGGTTGAGGGCAGGTGGCAGCAGCAAATAGATGT